CAAATAGTTGAAAATCTGTTGATTTTACATCTGCATATTACAAACAGTGTAGGAGTAATATATGGATTTGATGTGTGTTGAAACAAACATTTTCACATGTCTTGCTACTGTCATTTAATAAAGATATCATTTCTTTTTTTATTGGTTGCGGAAAAAGTCTGTTTAGAATCATATAGGTTTTGCTGGCCTATAAAACTGGCCCATCGTTAGGTACATTAGGGCTAGTTAAAAACAAATAGTTTTTTAAACACCTTTACTGTGCATTACTCATTGTCTTTGATTGGATTGTCCAAACTAAAATGATCGTAGCTGGGATTTACAGGTTAAGAAAGCTCAGAGGTTTAATACCATGACGTCACATTAATTAGCGATCCCTTGGATCCCCTTAGCCACTAAACCACTGCCTTCTGTCAGCTTTGAGGAGACAGCAGCAGGTTTGTGATCTGCAAAGCAGGAGAACGATGATACTTGGAACTATTGGGAGCCTGTGAATAATCACAGCCTCCTAACTGCAAAGTGACGTTTCCTCTGACATTCTTTCAAGTGATGCATCTGTAGAGGAGAGAAGAGACAAAGACAAAATGGGTGAACTTAACAAAGAATCGGTGGAGAAGTACTTGGAGAACAACCCCCAGTTTGCCAAGGAGTACTTTGATAAAAAGCTACGGGCAGAGGTACTTGGGGCAGCTTTTTCGGATACCAAAGTAAATGTGAAAGATGTGGCTTCAATCAAGGAAATTACCCAAATACATGAGGCAACTTTTATATTTGAACTGCTGAAAGCAATCCAGGATGTATCTAATGTGGAAAAGACCATGCACAATGTTCTGCAAAGAATAGCCCTTCTAGTGAAAGCAGACAAGTGTAGCTTGTTTATGAGCAGGTCCAGGAACGGTATTCCTGAGCTATCCACAACACTCTTCAATGTTACTGCAACATCTAGCTTTGAGGAAAATATTGTTTCTCCTGACTCAGAGATAGTTTTCCCCTTGGATGTGGGCATTGTTGGGTGGGTGGCTCACACAAAGAAGACATTCAATATACCAGATGTTAAAAAGGTAAGTTTGCTTCTGATTAGATACCTGTGCCAACATTATCTCTGGAATTCATGGAGAAGTAATGTGAGACATTTTTCATTTCACAGTAATGTGTTCATGGAGTACAGTGGAGTAATTCACATCATCCTAAATGAATCTAACAAAGTAAAACCAAAGCGGTCATTCCTCTGTCTGCAAACTCATTATTTTGTCTGAACTGAAGAGAAGAGCAAATTAAAAAAGTTGTAAAGTGATGTAATCACTCTTTAAAATGTATTTTTTTCTAGTAAAATATGAAGGAATTAACTACAACTGTCATTTCTCAAAAGGAAGACAATATTTCTTTATCATGTCTCTTTGTATGACAGCACTTGACTTATTGTTTATTACTGCCAAATGGAGAGATGTCTAGATAATCCCTCTAAATTCATAAGGCTGATTACATGAGAAAAGATCAAGGAGGATCAAGATGCCTATTTCATCAGCCGAACGAGGTTTACGCTGACGTGGTTAAACTTACTCAAACCAAAAACAATTGTTGTTGCTCAAATTATGATCAGTTACCTAAAATAAACCTGATAGATACACAAAGAAAAGCAATAGGGTGAGGGTTTGTCCACGTATTGTAGGATGTTCACATGTCAGTTATTGCAAGGATTATTATTTTACTTCATTACATTTTGCTTCATTTTTTGTAAGTTTTAATACAAATACCAAGTACATTCTACTGTGTACTGTATATAAATGTGCCTGATTCATGAAAATGATTAATTTTAATACATTCGATTTATTTAACAGTTGAGTGTGAATATTACATAAATACACATAAAGTCTCTGTGGCAGGACTTTCCATTTAATGTGTTACTGAAGTATTTATGTATAATAAATTTATGTTACCACCATACATCAGATTAGTCAATTTCCTCCTTGCCAAAACACTTGAAGATTAACTTTATTTAATTAATGGCAGTATTTAACAATTACTAAATCAACATTAGACTAACAGACTAGACCTTTTGCCAGCTCTTTAAGATATGAGATTAGACTTTCATTGACAAAAGATATTGTTTATAAACAAAGAATGATTACACGATGTTCATGATAAAGAGGAACTTCTGATGAAGGCAGCATCTTTATTAAAATGTTTAGTCTTGTTCATATATTAGTATTTGGAAACTATATATTAAAGAACTGAGAAATTAAAATAAGAGACTGATCAATACAAGGATATTTGGACTAGGCATCCTTATGAACAAATACAGAAAAATGCATAAGGACATTTAAGCTAAAATAAACTTCTAGTCATTTGAATACATACAACAAAGTGTGTCTAGAACTAAAAAATACATGCCATTAAATTGTTATACACTACATAAAGTCCATGCAAATATTCTAAGATGAGGAGAAAATAACACACGCAATAAAGTGGGGTACATTTGTGTGGTTTTCAATAAAACTTGCATATTTTTTAAGACAGATTTTCATTTTCATTGTGTTTCCCAGAATTTTTAGATTTTGTATATGTTTTATATATGACTGCATCTCACCGATGGATATTAATAATAAAGGTGAATAAAGCCCCTAGATACTAATGTTGACTTTATATACTCATTTCTTCTGTATAGACAGTTCTGCTTCTTAATGTTGTGAAAAGGACATAACAAATTAATTTTCATATTCCCTTAATTTACTGGCTTTTTAAAAGACATAAGAAGGACTTGTGGCCTGTATATGTGGAGTGTTTATTACATCAGAATTTATTTAGAATGAATACCAGCTCATTCAATTTTACTATCCTATTCAAATGAAAATACAACGCAGCACATTCAAGAAGTTTGTACCATTTTAATGGAATGCTCAATTGGCTGCCGGTAAACTTTGTATCAGACAAAAGCCAGACTAGAAGAAGCAAAAGAGGTATGTGAAACCCCTGAAATAAATGAGTTAATAGGTTTTTCAAGGCTAATAATTTCCTGATCAGTACACTGTATGTTTATTTAAATTATATGTCAATAAATATTAGGAAATCTCCATAATCACTAAGAAGCAGTCCTAAACCTGAATATTTCAGTAGCACAGAACCATGCAATTTGTTTTGGGAACATTTAAAATGGAAGGTGCACTTCTAAAAGCATGACCTGGATTCTACAACATTAGGCATTGCAAACTTTTCCCATTGAAATATCCCTCTTCATTTTCAGGTCTGCTTTCCATAATATCCATAATATCAAACATGCATTTTTCTTCAATAAGGAATTCCCAATGTTTTCATTCACAATAGCAATTCAACAAATGGATATTATCACGACATTAAATTTATACCTTTTTGCGGGTTCCTCACTTGAAACAAAATCCAGTCAAATTGCCCATCCAATGAGTTGCCTCATTTCAGAATTTCACACACTGTAGCTCTCTTGCCTAAATGAATGTCCTTAAAACCGTCTAGCAGTCTGGTGCTTTATCACGTAAGCAGTAATAGTTTCATATCTGAGATGTACAATTTCTATTATTATTATACTAACTGAGGTAACATGGCAGTAACATTTATCCAATGAATGACATAATTTAGTTGAAATGGGTAAAAAGATTTTTTAAGAAGCCAAAGGTGGAGGTGTAACGTCCTTAATTCACTGACATTTGTGGGCTGCTCTGTAATTTGAAATCACGTGCTTTGTATATTTGAATGGATTCTCATCTTCCTGTGTTCCAGAACACCCATTTCAGTGATTTTGTGGACAAGCAGACAGGATACACCACTAAAAACATGCTGGCTTGTCCAGTAATGAATGGGAAGGAAGTGCTGGCAGTCGTCATGGCAATAAACAAAACTGATGAACCAGAGTTCTCAAAAGCAGATGAAGAGGTAAGTAAAGGCGAGTGTCGAGGCGAGTGTTTGACCCAGGTGAGTGTCGTGAGTCATTGTACACTAAGCTGAGGGAGGACACTGATGTGACATGCCATGCCCTTAAACGAGCTGCCAGTCGCAGCACCTGACTAGTCCGATGACTCACTCTAGTGTCCTCAGCCAGGGTGCCCTCACATACTATGCCCAGCCCATTTGTGGGGTAGGTTGTGGTTGCTTACCCATACTCCACCCTCCACAGTGGCCGAGTAGCACAGACAGGTTATGGAGCTCGTTGTACTCTTGTCCCACTTACAGTAGGAGCTGAGCTCCAGACCCACAACACCGCAGAGGGAAGCATCTGTAAATCTGGTGTAATGTACATCGGAAGACAATTCTGTAGTAATCTGAACAAGCGTTTATCACCTTACATGACGTTTATATTTGTGAATTCTGATGAGAGCAGCAATTGACGCTTATATTATCACACTCTCTCTGCATGCAAGGATAAAGACACAGTCACAGAGTAAAGAAAGGACTGGTTTTCAATGAAGTGCTGATGACTCAATTTTTGACTCTTTGTTTCAGCTCTTTCTCAAGTACCTTAACTTTGCAACTGTCATTTTACAACAAAACCAGATTTCCTACATGTACAATGTGGAATCCAGAAGGAGTCAGGTAATTCGGTCTACTTCTCGGGCCTCTTTCTCATCTATGTCATTTAAAAGTGACATAAAAACAGGTTGTAAATGACAGGAGACCCTTGGGCCCATCACTTTCCTACACTGTATACTGTAGATTTTAACTCAGAACAGATCTTCAATTAGGCTCCACAATCATCCTGTATTTGATTGAGATTAAACAGTATAACTATGTTAAAGTAAACATTTAAACACTGTGAGAGTGTAATGGATGGTTGGTAATTGAAGTTGGAACAGGATAACTTTTTTTCCCTCACTGCTTATGTCATCTGCATTTGAAGTAAAGTTTCAAAGAACAGCTAGAGGATTTTCCAAAAACTGCTTTTGACATCAATACATTCAATGCACCTCAGAATATGTGGAATGTTTCAAATTCAGAGGAAACATTTTTAACACTTTCATCTTTGAGAAAGATGTTTAAAGGCTGTGGGAGATACGCAGCCATGTTTTGAAACCAGTACCCTGGTTTCTTTTAAGAAACAGATGGATGAGATCATCAAATCAATTAGATACCAACTACCAAAGGACCTCCTCTCATTTATAACTTTTCTTAAATCATAAGACACAAATCTTTTGATAAAGATCCATTGGTGTCATCAATTTTGAAAGAATGTATTAATTTTAGAATCACTGGAGGGATTTATAGTGAAATTAATTCCTTACATTTCCTCTGGCACTAACATGATTGATATGTATTTTGAACTAAAAACCAACCAATAAGTGTACTGTACAGTACATCTAACACAGAATCAGCAATCACCACTAGATATACTAAATTTATTTTAGTACAGCAAGCAGCAATACAAGCAGCAATACAAAGCATCAATTGATGACATCTATGCTAAATGTAGAGCATTTTAATGTTAGAGAATATCCTGTGAAATTCTTATCAATTAAGCTAAAAAAATATTTTCATAAACATTAACAGGTGTTGCTGTGGTCAGCTAGCAAAGTATTTGAAGAGCTCACGGATATAGAACGCCAGTTTCACAAAGCTTTATACACTGTGAGAAATTATCTAAACTGCGAAAGGTACTCTGTTGGACTCTTGGATATGACCAAAGAAAAGGTATGTGAGAACCAATATTGAAAATTATTATACTTCACAATACAAACATTTATTACCTCTTCATTCTTCACTCTGATATTTTTTTTCTGTTTCTGTTTCTGTTGAGTAAGTTTTTCCGTTTCCTACTGTGTTACTTTTCACATAAGACGAAAGATAAACGTCTTCATTTGTGGTTTCACACCTACGTGTTAGAAGATAGAATTCTACTTCCAATTACACAAATAAGCTCATTATTACAGTAAAATTATATTGAAAGTGTTGTTAAACGATGTTTGAGAGCTGCAGAACTCACCAGGACAAACTCATAAACCAATAGAAAGGCTGGACAGTACTCCACATGTATCAGAACACATTTTTTCGGTTTGCATGAATATGACGAAATTCTGTTTTCTGTAAGCATGTAATGTAGAGAATGTTTTCGGAGACTTTCATCTGTTTGTATAGGAATTCTACGATGAGTGGCCAATCAAACTAGGAGAAGCAGAGCCTTACAAAGGTCCAAAGACACCAGATGGAAGAGTAGGTATTCATTTTGTATATTTTCTAAGCATGTCTAAATTGGAAACTGTACTAAGAATGTGAACCCACACCTCCCCTTAAAGATGTAGAAGTATATATTTTGAATATACACTAATTTAAATTAATTTTCTTGCTTTGCACAGGAAGTCAACTTCTATAAGATCATTGATTACATTTTGCACGGAACAGAAGAAATCAAAGTCATACCGTAAGTATTACAACAGTGCACCAAGTGCCACCTACTATCTCACATACTGTAAGAGCAATGATATAACAGATCGACACCAAGAAAAAGCAATTACTGTGCAGTATTTCTCATTTTACATGATTTGCTCAATATTAATTGTTCATGGTAATTATTTTACATTTCCTCAACACTCTTGGTTGTTAAGGAAGATAATTATGGGCTGTTTCCAGGGTCCTAAAAAATATTATTAGAAATATGTCATTATATCATTAAAATCAGATAATAATTAAGATAAATGTGTTACCTCTATAACAAACCATAGCAACATCACAAGATTTTATATACCAAGTTTTTTTTTAATTCTGTCTTTCCAGTCTAACTTGCATTAGATACACTCAATCTGTTTTTCCTTTATCACTATTTCCCTGAATTCCCTCATTTCCTTACCTGAAGGACACCTCCTGCAGATCACTGGTCCCTTCTTAGTGGTCTACCAACCTACGTAGCGGAAAATGGATTTGTAAGTTTACATATTCCTCTTGTGGCACAGATTGTTTACACTTTGCATAACATGACAGGAAAGTTTGGCTTGTGGCTATTTCTATATTAATTTATGGTTGTGTGTTAACCCTCTGGAAACCCAACTATGGTAAAAAGAAGAATTCAACTTCCGATTCCACCTCCCACCCAGCTAATTGAGTTATTAGTAATTCTAATATTGATGAAAGAAGCCAATGAATATGAAGTGACAGTATACTTAATACTTGGGCATTAACCCACCTGACTGAGTGAATGACAGTGCTGGTGCTTCACAATCCCCCTCACTTACAAGGAATGAACCAGGGAGGCAGCTGCAAGGGTGCAGCTGGGGTGGAGGGGGGAGGGGTGTAGAGGGGATGTCAGTGAGTATTTATACATAGGAGAGCAGAAGTGTGAGATTAGACTTTGACCTCCTGCAGAACTTCTTAAATAACACCATGTATTAGAATTAAAAGTTGAACGTAGAGTTAAGTGATGTTTCAGAGCTGCAGCCCTTATTTGGACAAGCAAACTGAAAACTCATGGATGATATTTCACATGTCTGAGAACACACTTTAGTATGTGAAATGAATTCCTTACCTTATTGAACACTGAAGTGTAGTACAGTACTATACCATTCTGAAGTATGCTGAATATCTCTGCTTTTAGAAAAAATTGAGAAGGTTAAAATGTAACCTTTTCCTGGAGATACACATCATTTCAGAATTCCTCACAGTAGTAAGAATTTTGTTTTTCTCTGCTACAGATCTGTAATATGATGAATGCAGCAGCAGATGATTTCTTCACATTCCAGGTAAGTCTTTTAGCACAACACACAGTCGACATACTTTCACATCTATTAAGAATTTTTAGTGTAAGGTTGTCCAGTTTGGAAATCTGTTCTTCTTTTATGATTATGTGGTTATCTGAAATTAATTGCTTTGCCTTTAATTTCCATTTAATTTGATTTTTATCTAAATATTGAGTTTTGACAATGTGTTTTCCCTCTAGTTGAAAATAAAACAATAAGTACACATTCTGAGTTATGATCTTCAGTATTAACTGACAACAGTAACTACATAATCCAAAGATAACTAATTATTTATGATGTCCATTATTCTTAACAAGGTAGTTATTATCCAAAGATAGTGTATATTTTTTAAATGTAATTCAGTTAATACTCCTCACTGATTTTATTGTTCTCAAGGACAAATAATTAACATCATATTATCTAACTCATGGCTTATGGCTTCAATGTGGTTTGTTACAGAAAGAGGCTTTTGATGAGACAGGATGGAAAATTAAAAATGTCCTGTCGCTTCCAATTGTCAACAAAAAGGAAGAAATCGTGGGAGTTGCCACATTCTACAACAGAAAAGATGGAAAACCCTTTGATGAATATGATGAACAGATAACTGAAGTGAGTGACTGTCGAGATGGAAGGCAAATGTTACAATGACCCATTATGCAATAAAATTGGTGTTTTGTACAAAGAAATTAATATTTAAAGATGTTAAAGACAATTATGTGAAAGCATTGTTGTTTTATGTTGGGTTGTGTCTTTTCTTTTGTTTTAAGGCCCTCACTCAGTTTTTGGGATGGTCTGTTTTAAACACAGACACCTATGATAAACTGAATAAACTGGAAAACAGAAAGGACATTGCACAAGAAATGCTCATGTATCAAACCAAGTGTACAAAATCGGAGCTTCAGTCCATCCTGGTGAGTGGTGCTGGACAAGGCGAGCTGATCTGTACAGTGCAGGACACAAGTCCAAGACTTTTACTCTCTGTGTTTGCTTTGTAGAACACACAGGAGAAATTCAATCAAGAGCCAGAAGACTGCGACTCAAAGGAACTTGTTAAGCTCTTGGTAAGGCTATAGAGATATTGTATGTCTTCCAACTAGAAAGAAAAAAAAATCTAGCATAAACCTGGATGAACAGCCACTGACCAAACCAAAGTGCTGAAATTTGTGTAAATTCATCATACAACTTATTTGCAATAATATGAGTAATGTGTATTTATGGTTGTAAACCTATGGAAGCCCGTTTCCGCCAGGGAGTAAAAAATAACGCGCTATGGTATCTCAGAATTGCGACTTAGTAACTCAGAATTGCGACATACTATCTCAGAATTCCGACTTAGTATCTCAGAATTGCGACTTAACAACTCAGAATTGCGACTTAGTATCTCACATTTGCGACTTCGAAATAGTCCATATTTCATTGTCTGTCCTTTTGTTATTGTAACGGATTCGGGTTCTAGGGTTTGTGCCCTCGCCGCTCCCACCCTAGTTCGTGCCTCACTACATTGGCTCGAACCCAGGTCTTGCCAGCTGAGCTAAAGAACACTTTCTTTAACCCCGGCGGCCAGCATCCCTGTTATGCGCAGGAGAGGGCGGTGCCGTCACCACACTGCAACCAGATCGTACAACCTGCATGTCGGCCGTTCCGTTACACTATTTTCATGAATCGTACAGGGTCATATGATCTATAAGCCTGAAGACTTGTCTTGTACAGTGCCCTGATAAAAATTAAATTAATTACACTATTTTTTTATAAAATCCCATTTCCGCCAGTGAGGCTTCCATAGTACCTGAATGAAATAGTGCACGGTGGGCTTTTTAAAAATAGTTTTTATTTATGGAGACAGAATATGAAATAAGATACAGAAGTAGGCACTTCACATTCAGAGGAATTCAGAATTATAAAAGCTGAAACATACTTTTTACGTATTTCCATTGTATGTCCTTTTTTACTTAAAAAAGAAGGTCTTCTTTAGCTCAGATGGCAGGACCTGGATTCGAGCCAATGCAGTGAGGCACGCACTAGGGTGGGAGCGGCGAGGGCACAAGCCCTAGAACCCGAATCCGTTACAATAACAAAAGGACAGACAATGAAATATGGGGTATTTCGAAGTCGCAAATGTGAGATATAAAGTCGGAATTCTGACATACTAATTCGGAATTCTGAGTTGCTGAGTCGCAATTCTGAGATACTAAATCGGAATTCTGAGTTGCTAAGTCGCAATTCTGAGATACCATAGCACGTTTTTTTTTACTCCCTGGCGGAAACGGGCTTCCATAGTAATCAGAACACAATGCAAACAAAAACTTTAATCATTTTAGGCTTCATGCCATAATAATCAGTAGAGTATACCACTAAATTACAGGATTACAAATGCACTTTGTTATTTAGAATGAATTATGAGAACCATTGTACCAAACAGGATATGATTTTAACACAACAAGTGAGAACCACTCACCATCGCGCCTTCATTTTGTTTCCTATACAGTTGGTGTTAATAAACATGATCTCTTGCAGAAATCAAACCTTCCTGATCCCAAAGAAGTGGAGCTGCTGGAATTCCACTTCAGCGACTTCCCTGTGTCAGAGTTCGATCTGATCAGATGCGGAATTCAGTGTTTCTTTGTACTAAATGTAGTGGAAAAGTTCAAAGTACCTGCCGAAGTGAGTAGTAACAAATGTTCTCAGCCATCTTTATCTTTTCATCCCCTTTTCCTTCAGGTTGTTGTTCCACCTGGTGAGTACACAGCCACGAGAAACTGTAGTTTTCTACCGCAATAGTCCAGCGGGCACAGACTGAGCTAAAGCACGTCTGTTTCAGAGAAAGCTCTCTTTTTTATTTGTAATTATGATTATTTGACTAGTTAGTATATTCAGTTATATGTACGAAAGCAGGACATCTGCTGAAATGTTAAAGGGTAGTTTTCATTTCCATTCAGGAGAAAATGCCATTCCCTTGGAATTTTACATTATAATGTGGCCAAAACTGAAAACTTCATTCTTTTATAGCATGTTAGGTAAGGAAACAGAGAAGATTCTATTACCGTTTATATTACAAAAAGCTAATTGATTTCTTTTGTTATGTGAAGGTACTTACCCGCTGGATGTACACTGTGAGGAAAGGTTATCGGGACATTACTTATCACAACTGGAGACATGGCTTCAATGTAGGCCAGACCATGTTCACTCTGTTACTGGTAAGATGTGCCTTTAAAATATCGATCGATGCCCTGGAATAAAGAGTCTCTTAGTGCATGGCAATGAAAAATTAGCTTCAATTCTTCTAAAAGAGCATTGTTATTAAAATCATTAATCTCATTAATTACAATTTATATTTATAGTAATATACATGTTTTAAAAACAACTATGTGTGTTGCATGGTGCTCCTGCCTCTATACACTGATTTTATTACAGATATTAACTGCACTATGATACTGTGAGTCATGACTGCTCTTGACATGGAAAGTTAAAGTTTGCATGCAGAAAAAAGTTTTAATGAAAATGAGTTTATACTGAACACCTTTTCTGAAAGGAACAAAATCAAAATAAAAGTAAAACTGCAGTAAGTAAAAGCACAATTTATTTGACAGATTATGAGTATGAATAAGCTGTGCTTCGTAAATTTTGTGGTTAACGTGCACATTTCTAGTCTTCGACAACATATATACTAGCCCTGAATTTGTGGAAAGTGCTTTTGGAATATGAGCCAGGGTAAAGTACTTGAATTTTATTACTTTTACAAGCTCAAAGGAAATGTATCAAAGACAAGGTGTGTGTGTATAAAAATGGACCATCAAATATTTCAGAGCCAAAAATGTTTTTCTCATTTCTTATTTCTGCCTCAAGCAGTAGGGCAGAAATATTTTTTTAAAAACATTTAGATGAGGTCATTTAAAAATATATAAAATTCTATGTAGCATATAAACTATAATAAAAATAGCATCTATGTCTGTCTGCCTATAGCATTTATCTTCTTAGGTATCTTTAACGTTCCCGTTACAGTGACATTTAAAGATCAGTAGCAAAAGTACATTTAATGCTTGTCTATTGGCAACATTTTGGAGTGATGCCAGCCTCTCTTAAATCTTCTTACTTTGGTTGAAGCCATCTGGTAACTGTGAAACGTTTGTTTTTCAGACGGGTAGACTGAAGAAATACTATTCAGATCTTGAGGCCTTTGCAATGGTAGCAGCTGCCTTTTGTCATGATATCGACCACCGAGGGACCAACAATTTATACCAAATGAAGTAAGAACTTAATCTATTCACTGTGCAGAAAGCACCTGGACTGTGAAAACCATTCTGAATTAAAGCGTCTGAACAAATTTATTTAATCTCTTCTTCATATAGTACATTCATCTAGTGTTGTTTCTTTTTGCCCTACATATCTTACAATATACCCAAGAAATATTGACACCAAAGTAATCGTGCACATAAATATGTGAATTTTGATGTGTGAATTCCAGCATTTGAAAGCAAAATTCCTCCAACAAGCATGCTTTTCATGCTTTTCAAGCTTTTCTGTTAATACGTAAAACTCTTTCAAACTAGAAGTTTCACAGCAGTACCAGTGAGCTGTGAAAGCATTTTCTTCTCAGAAACTAGATTTCTGTTCAACTTCACGTACCTAATATTCATTAAAATTAATACTAAATTTAATTATGGCAATCTCCGTTGATCTCAAACAGGCTTAATACTTTGTTTAACTTGAGTTTCAGAGATATGTAACTATTTGGTAGTCATAACTTACAGTAATCAGTATTGCATTTAAATACTTTTTGCCACTCTTTAAGAGTCCAGCATTTCCTAGCTTCCCTTAACTATTTGTATAGAAACAGTAACACTGATAATTATTGTTTCTCATAACCCTGTTGAATTTCACTAGACTGGAAACTTGGAGTTTTCACAATCACTCATGGAAAGCAAAATTCTTTTACATATACAGTTTATATGCATATAGATACACCAATCATAAAAATGTTTGCAATTCATTTAATGTAAAACTGTTTCTTTTGACAATTGTATCACTTCAAGTGCTGTATTTTCTACACCAGATTCCAAACAGGTGCATAGAGAATCAAGAACACAAAGTCACCATGGGATCTTTGCACTTACAGTCTACAATAAAGAATCAGGTGGAAAGCTGGGAGTTTTTATGAAGTAATTAAGTAATCTCATGCTGATACCCCCACCTGTGAGGTTTGTTTCCGAAACCTTGTCAAATGGCAGAAACTGTAACAGCATTCAATACTCACAGGTCTGCTTCACCACTGGCAAGGCTGCATGGGTCTTCCATCTTGGAAAGGCACCACCTTGAGTACAGCAAGACACTACTGGAAGATGAGGTTAACAGTTTTTATTAAATAACCCACATAGACATAGGATTAGTCCTTCTCAATACCTTGAACAAAGTAACTTTTTAAGTTTTAAATGGGAATTTTATTGTCTCCTTCAGAGCCTCAACATTTTCCAGAACCTTCAGAAGCGTCAGTTCGATACTGTGATACATTTATTTGAAGTGGCCATCATTGCGACGGATCTGGCTCTGTACTTCAAGTATGTGCACATGCTGTCTCTATTGTCCTATTAGCCTTTCTCTGGTTTTTTAAATGTATTGTGAAATGAAGCGTATATACATTCATTTTTTTTTATTCTTAGAGGTGTACTGAAATGAAAAAAAGCAAATTTAGGATAATTATGGAAAAAAAAACAATATGCTGGCTGCAAGCCTGGGGCTAGAGTGCCACTATACTTCTGGAAAGAGCAAAGGGCTTTGGTAACGCAGTTCAACCTTTCGTTTATCTTCCCTCAATTTAAAACTTGCTTTTTATCACAGACTGGAAACTAGAAACGGAATTTCCTTTTATGTCTTAAGATGTATTTAATATTATATTTCATAGAAAAATGATAGCAAGCACTGTGGCCTTTCAGGTGAGCTTTCTATGTGGGGACATACCGCAAAGAGACTGGCATTTAACGCACATTTTAATTCTCGCACTGTGTTCCAGAAAGAGGACCATGTTCCAGAAAATAGTCGATGCCACGGAACAAATGGCAACTGAAGAAGAGCAAATCAATTATGTGTCAAACAATCCCATCAGGAAGGAAATTGTGATGTAAATGTTTGGTCTTTTTCTTCTTTTAAATGTGTGTGAATACTTCTTAAAATATTACATTGAATATAACAGGATTAATCTGCCTTTTGAGTGATGACTGACGTTACTGTATCCCTCTCATAAAGTTTTTCATTGTTTTGCTGTTTTCGGGAAAAGGGCTATGATGATGACAGGCTGTGACTTATCTGCCATTACCAAGCCATGGGAAGTACAGAGCAAGGTACCAACGGCAGGGATTCTGTCTGTCTAATCAGCTTCGCAAAATAACAATGATGATGATGATAATAATAATAATAATAATAATAATAATAATAATACTGTACACTGAACTGTGTGGTGCTTGTCATCCTAGCCTTTTCTAGAACACCTTTGATTTTTGCTAGGCATAATTAATTGTAGTTCGGATAAAAAGATTTGTACCTTGCCATTAGAGATTGAAAATATGACAGTTCTAGTGTACATGATTTAAATGCTGACTGCATATAACTAAGGAAATACTTTGATAATTGTGTAACAGATTCTGTATTTGAATTTACAAAAGTTACAAAAGCGACATTATGCATAAAATGGCGGGGGTGTAATTATCAGCCCATTAATCTGAATCAAGTATTTTTTCAGGTGGCCCTAATGGTCGCAAATGAATTCTGGGAACAGGGAGACTTGGAAAGGACGGTCCTGGAACAGCAACCCATTGTAAGAAAGATATTTTATATTTATTTATATATTGTCTTTGCATCCAGGTACAAATTTATAAAACGTCTGTTTTATCCAGCACCTGACTTTGACTCTAACATGCTGTTTACATCATTATAGGGGCTAAGATTTCAGTGCATGTAAAAATGACTTTTTAATTCCTAGGACACTTCTATTATTTTTGTTTTTCATCCAGTTTTTAAAGATGTGTATAAAAAGGACAAGTTGTAATTTATACTACCTCTAACATCTAGAAATGTCCATGAACCCTCAGAAGTGTTATTCAATATGATTTCTCTTGATTCCTGTTTAGCCTATGATGGACAGGAACAAGTCTGATGAACTGCCAAAGCTCCAAGTTGGCTTTATCGATTTTGTGTGTACTTTTGTATACAAGGTAAGTGTTGCATTGCACTTTTGAGATGGAGCCATTTATCACAACCAATTCCAGATTACACAAGCATACCAAAGATGCATAAATTATACATACACTTGCAACCTTTGTCAGTGGGTTCCATCACAGGAGTCTTGAATCAGCATTACACAAGTCTACAGCCTTTCAAGAGGAAAACAATTGTTTGATTAAACCATTGACATGCTTTCAATCTATACATTTGTGTTGTCATGTGTGACAAAGTACAATGACTTGGTACTGAGGTATGTCTGAATTCACTCCAGGACTCCTGGGACTGGTTCCAGTGTCTTCGTCAAACTGTCAAACTTCGTCAAACTGTATTGAATTCAGCTTTTACTAAGTTACAGCACCACAGAGATGAGTATATCCAGATAATTTAGCTTAAAAATATTATTTTAACCAAAAAAACATTTTTCTAAGTTTTTAAAATTTTAATACATTTTCTAAATAGGTTTGTAGTAATAAAATAGAATATTTAGAGGTAATTGTTTGGAGTTATAGAAAATATCAGGTAATGTAATAGATAATTGCAAAAAGACCATAATCTATTAAGTTTAGTAGAAATAATTATTTAATATGGCTCCTGCTGTGTACTGGTTTATACAAGAACATGTGGATGAAAACTAGTACTGTATATGGAGGACAAATCTATATTAGTATACAGTATGTGGCTCTGTGGCTAAGGACCTGTGCCTGTGGCTGAAAGGTTACCGGTTTGTATCCCGTGGCTTGCAAAGGAATCCTGCCCCATTGGGCCCCTGAGCAAGGCCCTTGACCCCAGCTACTACAGGGGTACTGTATAAATGGCTGACCCTGCACTCTGACCCAAGCTTCTCTCCCTGTCTGTGTGTCTCATGAAAGACAAATTCCTAATACAAGAAATTGTATATGACCAATAAAGTGATCTTATCTTACTTTAATTTTTTAATATGATTGTCACTCACTTTTCAGAATACACTGTACCATTCATTTGTGCTACCTTCTGTTACGAAAAAAGCCCTGTTGAATTACAATCATATCCACAACCGCCATTTGCATGACATTCTGGAAAGACAGACAGCAGCTTCACCACATTCACAATTTTTTTTTAAATAGACAAAAAAGGTCCCACTTACTGTAGGCACACATGGAGCAACAAAATAATGTATTTGCTAAGAAATGAGCCCAAGTGTTAATATGCGTGTTTATATGAAAGATTTAGTGTCTGAATGGCAGGTATGTTCCAGATGAACATGCCCAAAGGAATACTTGAAAAGAAAGGGGTTGCTTAACTCTGGGCACTGAACAGAACATTTGTTTCAGCAATGCATAAGCGTGTAGTAACGAGTACATACTTTCTTATGATCTCGCAACTCAGGAATTCTCAAGGTTCCACAAAGAAATCACACCAATGTTCACAGGACTTCAAAACAACAGGGTGGAGTGGAAGGCCCTGGCAGACGTGTATGAAGAGAAGATGAAAGCCATTGAAGAGGAGAAGAAGAAACTGGAAGAAGCAAGCAAAAAAGGTGACTTTTGCCTTTGCGATTTGACTTCACTGCTAGGGAAAAGTCACACAGGATTAAAACAGGAGCCAATCCAAGGTGTTCTCAGAGCATGCTCATCTATTCTGTTGACCTTCAGTTTCTGCTAAAGTTCACAAAATTGCGCACTCACAAATGTTGGTACTAAACTTAACACACGTATCCGGTACCGTTAAAAGAAGTCAGCAGTCTTTAAATATTAAGCACTGTACTACAGGTCTCTCGGTCTCCTTCAGACGCAAATGCTCTAGCTCCTTCCCATCTTAGTGGAGAAAAGCAGTGTTATACATTGGTATTTTGCAGCATAAAATAAAATAGTATAAATACAGCTCGAATCTGCCAGAATAGATTTATGTGATAATGTTAAGAGGAAGAAGATAATACAACATTAACAACTATCACATCGTGTTGCAGAAATAGTCTAATTAAATGTGCTTATACATTATTGTGATGCTAACTAATTCAAATCACTGCAACAAGCAGATAAAAATGTCCCCATAAATATGACAGTTCTTTGTAAGAACACTCAGTGTCCTTCTTAAAGAAAACCACCCCTGTTGTAACATAAAAAAAACATTTTAGTTTTGATATCTAAAAAGCGTTTTTAAACTTTTAAAAGTCTAAAGCAACTAATTCTTATTTGCTTTAGTGGAGAATAGTGTTTCCTTTACATGACTATTTCTAAAATAAAATAAAATGACACCCGAAGAAAGCTCCACAGCCGAAACGGTGTGTTTCTTTTTTTCTCTATTCAGCACAAATTAAACCTTTACTTGTTCCTTATTTTAAAATAAAGCTTTTAAGAACACTAAAACTGAAAAGTTTGAATTCCAGTAAAAAAGGAAGCAAACAACATTCTAGCTTGATGAATCCCAGCTTTCAAAAGCATGTTTTTTCTAGCCTGGGTTCATTACAATGATATTTTAGCCTTCTGCTCAAACTGATGTTATATACAGATAGATAATTAATAAAAAACAATTAAATCAAATTACATTATCTATGGAAATAAAAAGCTACAGATAAAATAGATAACAAAATATTGAAAATTCTAAGTATAAAAATAAACTTGTAGAGTTTCAGCTATATTTTAAATTATATATTAAAGTACTATGTTTGACAAACTGGGCATTGGGTAGTCCCAGGATATTAAATTGTTCTGCTTTTAAAATTGAAATCAAGTTGTGATAATTATATAGCTATATTTTAATGTAGGCCTGATGATTATTTCCCTTTATGAAATGAAAGTATGGAACAATCTACCTAGAGATGGGCTTGAAGCTAATAAGGGTTTGGCTTCTTTCAGGAAACTGCTGTATCAATTGCAAATAACTGTCAAATGCACTAGATGGGCTGAACGTTTCTTATGTCCTTACTGATAATCCTACAGATTATTCATGCTTTCATTTATTCAAGCAACAAATACTAAATGTACATTTGATTTTTTTTTGCTAAAGCCAACTTTCAATTGCAGTATGTATGAATAAATCTAGAGACAAATGTAACTTCTAGAGAATATCAGAGTCAGTTAACATCAGAGCAACTGAGATCAGGAGATAAACTATTATCTTACTTGCTCTATCATCAGAACCAGTGGTAGGGTTCTGGACTAGAAGTGTGTGGGATCAAATCTCACAGGGGGTGACGATACTGCACCCTGGAATACTTCACTCAACTTGCTTCAATAAAACATCCCTATAAAAGCGTATAAATACAGAGTAATATCAAACAAATAATAAGAGATCGGTACTGTAGTTAAAGACAATACTGTTGGGGTCGTAATACAGAAGCCACTTTAAGAAACCATAGTGAAGCTGTAATATTGAAAGACTGAGTGAACACATTCAGAATAAGTACTGTATGTGTATTTTCTAAAAACAGAGAGCTCGAGGGAATGAATACATTCATTTCTGACACAGTGGCCCTTCAAGGTCAGTAGGTCAGTATGGAGAGAAGCAACGTGCCACTGGTCTCTGCAGGCTGATTTGTCTTCTCTTTTTTTTCCAGTTGAAGGAGGAGGTGAAGTGAGCGAAGGGGGCAAGTCAAAGACATGCACGATATTTTAGGAACGGACTGACAGGCCGTCTGGATATGAGATTGCTTTTCATGGCCGGAAGAAGCAGTGTGGGGACTTGGTTCCCGGAAGTTCTCTCTTTTCTTCTGTTCCACCTGCCGGATCCCACTGGGCCAAAGGCCCAGGAAGCTGCAAGGGGCACTGCCAGACCAGAGAGGAGGGCCAGGTGTGAAACCTCATTCACAGCAGAGCGCTAGTCTTTCCCTGGTAATTAGTTGTACACGGTGAACAAGGGTATAACTAAGGTGCAACTTTCTGAAGGACAACCTTAGGCTTTGGTACCTTAGAGTCAGCACTGATGGCGGACTTTCCATTTTAGTGGAGAAATAACAACAGATAGCTTAATTGGTTAAAAAATCTTTTTCAGTGGTTAAGAAATTAAAACTAAAAATGTTTGCTGCTGTCTGTATAACACAAACAATGACATTACACGTACACCTTTTTCTGTTAATGTATTTAAAACGTTTCTGTTAATGTTCAGTATTTACAACACACTTTAAAAAATCCCTTATGTACACGGGCTCTGGTGAGTAGATTTGGATACACAGAATTTTCTTTATGTTTTTCTTTCTTTTTTACACCTTCAATTTGGATCAACAACGCTCATTTAGAAAAATTCCATTTAAGGCACTTAACTTTGATTTTTATACTAAATGGACAACTCTATACAGTACTCTATCGAGAACCTAAATTGATTAAATGTATTAAAAAAATAGGAATCAATACTCGGATACAAGCTTGACTAAGAAATAATGAACTCAAGGCAGCAGTGGGCAGCATCCACAGTCTGTATGTAAAATGAACATATCTAAAGCACAGGATTAAATAATAATAATAAAACTGGATGTGGATAACTTGAAGCTGAATTAATCATTTTGGTGAAAAAATAAGCAAAGAAAACTACCTGCGCTATACTTTTTTGTGTAGGAAGCATGTAAGTGTTACAGACTGCTGTCTTTCTATTTTGAAGAAAGGTCTGCTATGATTCACATTTAATATGACAGCAGGGGCCGGGCTGTCCTGCACTACAAACAGCAACCTTCACTCTGGTGTGAATGATAGTGGACCAGAAAAGAACTGGCTGGCTCCCGAGATCTGCGAGCAAACGTAATGTTAAATCCTCTGATCCCCTGTGTTTCCTTGTATCTGATAAGGGTAGAATTCTTTTAGTTAGTCCAAATAAGGTTACAGTAGATGTTTATTATTTTTTGTGGCTTTAAGGCTACATGGCTTTACTGTATGCTATTAATCAGGCCTGACCATCATTCGTTTCAGTCTTCTTAACTGTGATATCTCTATATATTGTACAAAGCCACTTGTTTCAGAGGTCAAACAGTGCAGGTAGCAATGAGACTACCAATGTCTTTTTCTTAAGATGCAGTGTCTCATGTTACCTGTTGCTTTTGATAGTCTTTATTCATGGCAAGGTTTTACAGCAAATATTAGAGCCAACGTTTTTTTTGGTAATTAGATTGCAAATGATTCACATCCATCTGAATCCAGTCTCATGTTAAATGTTACTAGCTTTTCACTGGAGGAAATAATTAAAGAGCAGTCAAAATGATCTGAGTGAGAATTAAATATCTGAATTGCACCATTTTGAATTGTTAAATGTAGAGATGACATTGTTTAAGAATGTTTCATAATATTTCTAATCACAGTATCTGCAAGATATAGAATAACTGCTTTGTTATTTTCACATGGCATTTAAATTATAACCAGAATAAACCAAACTGCTTTTATTTTTTGGAATACTTTTCAAGCAAGCTGTCCAAATTATTCTTTTACAGTAAACATTTCCTGCTCAAACCCAAGTACAGCAGTCTCTCGACAGAGCTGTTTCGTCTATAATACATGATCAGTTACTTAAATTCAGACTGACCTAGTCTGCACACTGAAAACATTTGTTTTGTTAGTTCTGAAACAATGACCACATTGCTTTCAAAGAGGGTTTAAGAGAGTGACAAACGATGCTTATAAACTTGAGATAGTACATATTTGTTATAAACCAAAAGTCCTATTTTAAATACCAGTCTATAATGAAATATTATTGAGGTTTTCATTTACATAACCTGAAACATTGTAGTTTGCAAGTAACGTAGCAAGTATAGTTCATAAATCAAAAGGTGTTTTATTTTATTTTAAGCCTTCTATTATAATGCTTAATATATTAAGTATTTTATTTAAAACAATACTGACCAAATATGTAATTTCATGTTATTGTATCTCAAGTATATTATTCATTGTATAGAGAATGATAGTCCGCAGGCAGTATGTAAAGAAATCGAAAGGATACAAATCACTGTAGTCCAGGCAGTCAGTGCCTGTGTAGTCAGTGGTAGCTTTAACTGCTGATCTTACATTTTTTATTGCTACCTGAACTGCATTAGCATGAAAGGTGCAGAACCAGCAGGAAAGCCAAATAGAAATCTACTGAAAATTTCTTACTGATAAATATAATAATGAATACTGTAAAAATCATATTAGTTCAATGAAAATTTGAGCTTGCTATAAATCTACAAACCTTAAAGGATGTCTGCACAACATTGCATGTGTGAATGTAAGAAGATTGAACTGGATGGAATCTGGATGTAAGCCAAGCTTCAAGGGTTCCCAAAGATTTAACCTTTAAATATCCTACTTAGGTAAAGCAGACTACCAAAGTCTACTTATATACAGTATCTGCATTGTGAAGGGCACCTTAAAACGCACAGCTGACTGGTGACTTTGTTTTAAATTCAGTTACGTATGGTCACTTCTAACAGTCTTCTATTACAAGTGTTTGGATTTCAATAAAAGCATCATCATCCAGCATCAGTGCGGTTTGTAGAGTGCTCTCCTTCCCAAACGATCTCAGAGCTCTTAACATACAGGATCAAGCCCCAGCAGGGTGACACATGGCAGCCATTGTGTGCCAGCAGACAGCAGACCGTAGATTGATAAAGATACGTATGTTTAGCCACCCCTGCTCAGTGAGAACCTCAGTTTAGCAGCTCATCTGAAGAAAGGCACCTCCTACAGTCCCCTAGTGGAAGAGCACCACCTACTTGTCCACCAACACCATGTACAACAGCAACCAGGTTTTCCTTAGAAGTCTCCATCCCAGTACTGACCGGGCCCAGCCTTGCTTAGATTGGCGTGTTCTAAGGAGATCAGGCTGCAATGTATTATCTGCGGATGAAATGAGAAAGATGAAGGAATAAAAACTGCAAGAGGATGATGCTGGATTCATCGCCCCGACTGATTGCATTAAATTTCATCCTAGGTTAAAAAAAAAGCCTGGTTTACAATCCAATTAAAGGATCAATATGTAAATCGAGGATAAGAACAGTCATAAACTCATTCCTCTGCGTTGTGACACTCTTTGAGGCAACACTTTGAGTTACAGGCAATGGCTGAGGAAGAGGGCAGCTAAAAAGAAAGAAGAAAACTAAGAGCAACAGTAAATGCACTAACACGTTTTCAGTAATGCTGTCCAGAAGGACTTACTGCGATGGACTGAAATACTCTTGCAATCTTATGTAACCCCCCTTGTCATTGAACCTGCAGATCACTGGGGAAGAACTTTAATCCAATTAGAGAGGCTTCGGGAAACTAAGAAGACATTACTTGGGTTCTGTTTTGAGAGCTGCAGATTTACTTTAGGCAGCACAAGATAGACACCTTGGATTTGGATCCTATTAAAGTATAATAAAAATTAGTATCCCTAATCAAGTCAGCTTAACTCAGTCCATCTTTCAGTCTACCTTTAGTGTATTTAGGTGCTAACATATATGTGTACAGAGTTACAATGTATGTATGATGATGCGTTATGAAGTACAGAAAGACGTTAGGTCAATGTTCCATGTCTAAACAAAATGTTACATGTTTGTGTCACAAGATGTAAACTGAACACAAATAAAGACACAATTTGAAGACACAATGTTGTAAATTTATTCAGTTGTGTTTATAGAGCACAAGCACAGCACATTTTGAATGAACATACCAACACACCTGCTTCGACTGTAGTTACTATCAGCTGCTATCTCGCTGTGCAGCTCTACCTTGAGAATTCTTACACAACAGTTTGTAGCTATATGGCCGATAGGTAACGGCAGGTATTATAACACAAAGGGTAGTTGCCACCACATCAGTATGAGGATCAGGATTACTACTTGCAAGTAAGGCGAAAATTATAGGTAAATGTTGGTACACATGCACCGGTGGCAGCGGGGAGGGATGTTATCGACTACAAAATGGGACCTTTCACAAAGCAGTATTTTCTCATTATTTAGAACTTGTGCTTTGTAAAATGCAAAAAAAAAAGAAAAATCTTTGTGTGTTTAGGTTCAGATTTTGGCCAAGGTTTTGCTAGTCACACTAGATCGTTGTTCTTTAAAAACTACCTTCAGTTCCTTGAACCTGTAATATTGCTTGTATGGTGCCTGTAACACTACCACTTATTTCACACACATAAGTTATTTTCGTATATATCTTTTCTATAGCCGATTTGAGGCTCTTTGCCTTAAATTGGGAATACAAAATGCCTTCTCGCCACTATAAAACAGTTTTGGATCAATATCCTGAACATACACAGTATTCAGTACAATACAGTATTAACTTAAATTTTGCCAGCTGACGGTGTGCGAGGCGAGCTAGCTGAATCGCGACGGTTGGTTACGTCATTATCAACCTGTGTCTCTACGCTGGCTGCTGCAGAATCTAATCCCCCAGTCAGAGCGCCAGGAGTTCATGATCATGCCCGTTCTAGGTGCTCTTAAATACTCTGACCTTTTTTTGCAGACATATGACAACATCAGGCGGACCCCGTAGGCGGCAGGATCTGACAGAGCTTGAGGATCTGTCATTGAGTTTAGAGACTGAGCCCCTCAAGCTTCGTTTCTTTCTTTCCCTAGTTCTGCTTGCTTGCTATTACCTCATCTTCCTGATCACCCCTAGGCTTTGTTTTGACCGATCTTCCGGACTTTCCCATGGTGCTTCGCTACTGTGTCTGCCCTGTTGCGACCCTCGCTTGTTTTGGATAACAACCCTGTACTGTGATTGCCCATTTCGCCAGCCTGCTACAGCAACACGCTCTCTGTGTCTGCTCCCCGCTCTGCTCTGCCTGGCTCTTCTCTGTCAGCACACTGCTCAGTTGTCAGCAGTTTCCCCCGGGTCTCGGCTGTCTCTCGCTCAGCAAGTGGGTTCTCTCACGTTCCTGGATCGGGGTACGAGTCTGCACCTTCCTTACAGAGATTTAAACAATACTTTACAGGGTTAGAGAAGTTTTCTCAATGTTTTCCATTCCACAGTACACCCACATAAATATAAAACTTTATAGAGATATACTGCCCCCTCTCCATACCCAAGTCTAGAAGTCTCATACACACATGACTTTTAAAAAATTCCACGTCACACTCGTTATGTCTGAAGGCACAGCACTGTGCTCCAGCTGAAAAACACTGGATTTGTGGAAATAAGTAACATCTACTTCTAGAGAGCCAAATGGTTTATTATATTATAGTCTATTACCTTCTCACTCCACGTCTTAACCTCTAAGGCATACTATGCTTTATCTGGATAGCACAAAGTACAGAGCAGATTTGCTTCACTTCCCTCTGATGTTAAAATTATTGAGAACTGCAGAAGCTGTCTATCCACCGTAAAAGTGAAAAAATCAATTTCATAAGAGTTCACAACATGTCTGCTATGAAATTTTTCTCTCCATTACAATCCAAAGTGACACCAATGGTTTCTTCTTGGAGAACATCCGAAAAAGCAAAAATAAGTAGGTCAGCTGTCACGGGTGTTCTTGTTAAAATCCCAAAGTACAGAGATTTCAGGAACTGTACAGACTGGCCAATAAAGAAAGAGAATTAATTGCTTCCTTATGGATTTCATCTTCTTCTCTTCTAATGTTGATTTGAATTACCCTTTATACTCAACAAAAGAACCCCATCCTCAGTCTGTCACAGAAACATGTCCTGGAAATACTCATCAAATTCTTCCTCTCTGCAAGATATAGAATGTACATATTTGAACTTTATGATGATAGAAAATTAAACATTAATTTATGCATCATTAATTCTATACTCATGAAGACATGACATCGATATTATGATCATTATATGGGACAGGGTTACCCAAACTCAGTCCTTACTGGTTTCCCACCTAGTTAACCACCTGATTCTAATCACCCCCTTAACTGTGATCAGTAAAACTTAGGAAAAGGTTCACTTATTTTTTTCACAAATTGAGTCTCAGTTATTATTATTTCTTCTTCACAGACCATTGTGTCTCAGAATAAATTGGTAAATACAGACCTTTTTGGTTATTTGAGCAAAGACCAGTTTTGATTAAATCGGGTATCATAAGAAGAAATGAGTCCCATAAAATTACATTTAAAGTCCACAAACTTTCCTGGCACTGTACCATTAACCAGGGCAGCACATTGCCAGTCTTCACTGAGCCTTTTCTCTAGCTCTCTAGGTTAGTATGAAGGAAGACCCTACTCATGAAACTAAGAGACCTTTAAGGCAATGAATAGCTTTTAACCAACCTTGACTTCTCCTCCGTACTTGGAGCAGGACCCTTCCAGTAATCTCCATCAGATGGACCTTCCTCTCCATCACTGCCTTCAGAACCTACATTGAACATCAGATGAGCAACAATAAGCAAAACTGGAAAAGCAAGATGAAAAAAAGTGAATTTCTTTTATATATTGCTGCAAATTCATAAATAGAAATACATTTGTACTGTTGGTCCAGCTACTGTAACTCTTTTTCTAAGGGATACTTGTCATCTACTGAAGAATAATTGCGATCATTCCATACGATGTTTAATTTTTTCACCATCCACTATGAACTAGACAGCGCAGACTCTTCCATGCGTAAACAGTGTAGCCCTGACACAGTTGGGACTTGTACACAATTTCTCACGGGCAGCTCCAGCTTCAGAGCTACACAGAGCCCATCCCTTGACAGAATTCTGCTGTCCAGAAAGACAGGGGCCACCTGCTGCAAAAGAATTCAACACAAAGGGATTCTGGGAGTGCAAAACAAGCTACAGAGCCATGTTGTTAAAATCTAGGCTTATTTCAAGAAATGACCGGATGAGATCACTGGATCAATTACCAAACGGGATAGATGGGCCTAGTGGCTTCCTCTTGTTTGTAATTTATCCATGTTCCAAGGAGGCTACCCTCAATAACAAGTAAATGTTAATTCCATGCTGGAAAGTAGAAAGTAGAAGACACACAAGGTATCTGTTAACCCTCCTTTAGGTGGCTTTCCTGTGGTTAGGCTCACACAGCAAGAACGTTCAACAGCCAAAACATTGTTTTTTCTTTCTGCTTTTCAGTGTGAAATTATTTTTTTCTGTTGTAGCCAACACGTCTTAACTCCCCATCTCTGTCAATAACACCTTTGGTAGCAGGCTCAGTTACGACCTTGTCATACGTGCATAACCATATTAAATATTCACATTATGTTCACATTAATTTTATGGACAATGGGTTCTATTACTCTACCAATAAATATCTAACAGCTTTTACAGGGGAGAAACTGGATTTCAAGTACTTCCGTAGCATAACACTTCTACACACTCTTAGCATTAGTTGCTCAACTGAGAAACAGGAGAAAGTTGTTTATACCTTTGGTAAGTGTTCAGCTGGTACTGTCAATCATTGCTCGATTTAAGAATGTTAAGTGTCCAAAAAAAGATCAAATAAAACATTAAAGATCTGAGGCCTGTCAGGAGCTACTCACTCATCCCCAAAGAGAAAAAAATGCACCCTAAAGCAGTCAGAACTGGCAGCATAGCTTTTTTTCCAGCAACAGTCATCTAATGCAAGATAACATATCTGGACTTGTTAGATAAGGAGATGAACTTATAGCTCAGTCTTGACAGGGAAGCCTTGAAGAAGCACAAGCAGCTTGTGTGATTATTCTGGACAGAGCTGATGGCTGTCAGTCAGATAAATCCCACTACCTTTCTGCAAACAACGTTTTACAAACAAAACTTGAAACAAATTTGAAAGCATTTTTAACAATTGGAAAACACTTGTGAAGGAAACATTCTGTGCTCCAGTTAAATGTCTGTTACTGGATGTCATCAGGGTGTGTAATATGATTTAGATGTTAGAATTCTGTTGATCAGTAACTCTTTAAGAAACATGCAAAGCAGACCCAAGAGCTCACAGCTTCTTTGGCAGTCAGTCTCTAGCTGTGAGGTATCACACCATAACCTGTTTCTCAGGTTCTTAGTCTCTAGATATGGAATCTCCACATACCTTCACCTGATTTGCTTGAGTCCTGTGGGCTTCTGGAGGAGTGCTTTTCTGTTATAGAAAGGAACACCAGGTTGAACATTTTTTATCCTACTGGGAACATATCAATGGCAAGTGATACTGATGGTGCTTCACAGATTCTTAGTAACACTAAATTAGGTTTTATTTTAAATAATGTAGCTCTAAGGTAGTTACAGTATATTTAAGCAGTGTCCATGTCCCTTAATTAATTTCTTTACTTAGCACCTGGGTAATTGGCACTGCAGGGCTGCTGAACACTTACAAAGGTTATATTTATCCCTATCAGAGTTCACACTGACACAAGTCTTGAAAAGCACGTAGGTTACTATTCTAGCTCTTCGACCTCAATTAACCCTTTGTCCCCTTCTGTGTCCTTAAACGACTCTCACAACTGAAGAGAACAAACATCAGGCAGTTATACACAAGCACTTTCTACAGTTATCTACTGTACCTCCAACTTCAGCTACTTAACCTCGTATATACAGTATGCAAACCAAGTCTTGTCCCTTTACCCGTCTTCTTCTTGTGTCTGTGTTTTCTGGAGAGGGATGACTTTGCTTTTTTCAACTGAGGCTCCTCTTTGTTGTCTTTAGTTTGCTGTCTTTTCTTTGCCTTAACTTCTTTCCTCCTGAAAATAAGAAGAGTAATTTTTCCATTTTTTCCTTTTTGTCCAAATCTCCTTTCAATTACTATGTATACTGTACATATTGCACCCAGTCTAGCTGTAGTTCCAACACATGCTGACAGTACTGGCCGAGAAACAGCACTCTTACCTATGATGATAGTTAAGCCTGTAGGAACACTCTGGGCAAAGCCCTGAAAAAAAGGCAAAAGGTTAAAAACTAAGCTCATCCCTTTTTTTCTCACTTGGAAGAAATACAGCAAGATATGGCAAGATGTTACAAACTAAAATAAATGGAATATTTAAGTATCAATACAAGCATTAAGACTTAAACGTGTAGGCTCTGCTTAGTATTCACAAAGACCTATGAAATTTGCAACATATAAATTGACAGTTATGTAAATATCAGTTGTGTCTGCTGAGGGAAAACAGCGGGGAATTAAGTGTGTAGCAAATCATTCAGACCTTTTTTCATGCAGCAGTCATGAGTATCTATAAAGTTGAGACCCAGTCAAACAGGGAGTAACAAGAATTGCAGTCACTGCCCACCAACATTTCTGAGGACTCAACCCCAGAAATAAAGTCATTTCAAAAACAAGGGGGAGGACTTTACTTGAAATAATTGTTCCATTCTCAGGCCACGCTCTAACTGGATTTGCCCCTTGCAGCGACTTGAGAACAGATTAGCAGCCACGGGATTATCCCTGAGTCCGCGGAGCAGAGAGCTGCACGGCCGGGCCCTCGTGAGTCCAGGGCAGACTTACGCAGCTTCACGAGGGCGTTCCTCTTCTCCCCGTGCTCAACGTAGGCAAAGTTCACCTCCCAGCTTTTCAGGCCTTCTTTCTTTTCACACCGCTTGTTTCCACAGAAGAACTGCCCTGAGAGACAGACGTCCATTAACGGAGTACCAGGAGTACAATCGCCAGGTTACGGAACTCAGGTTCATACTCTACTACTTCCGATTCCACTCAAATAAATTCCAAACAGCCTAGCAAAATGATGAAAACGGAATGTGGTCATTATTTTAACCACTTTTCACACATCGGAAGATTTTTTTGACTTTCTAAAGCAGGGGTGTGCAGTCCTGGTGCAGTAGGGCTGCTGTGTCTGCAGATGTTCTGTATTATAAAGCACTGTGTCAGATTTCTGTCCTGGGGGTGATGCATGAGGCATCTGTTCCATTTTCAGCTTGGTAGGGTCCCCTTCGCATACAGTGTGTTGCCACAGCATAACTGTGTCAATGCCAGTACTTTTAATGTGGCAGGAGGCAGAAACAGGGGTACCACAGTATGAGTGAAATCCACCAAGAGAGATGTCTACAAAACAAATGTCAGATGTAACAGGTACTAAACACCATGTGACCTAACCTTCTGTAACTAACTACTCTGAAAGGTTTTTACAGATAAAAAAATATTTGTGGCAGCGAGGTCACAATTTGTTAATCTTTTGACATGGGATTGCTCCATATTAAGAAATTGTTTGCTCAGTTTTAAATAATCATTAGACTATTCCTCAGGCTGTTGTATCAGAATTCTTCTAACATTAGTGATTTATTGCTTGTTTTCCATACTTCATAGAATATATCTGTCATGCTCTCTTTATCTTTATTTTTTTATCTAGCTGCAGATACATGTCCTTGGAGTTGGCAAGTAGGAAAGCCATTTCTAGAAAGAGATTAAGTTGATTTATTGTTCTGTTAATCACGTGTTTCTTCTTTCTGCTTTGATTTCAGATGACAGACAAGCCCAGACCTAGCATAGTGCAGACTTTCGGGTGAGATGTTGCTCAATTTTCCTGGGTAAACACATTCCTGTGTTTGAAGACTTCGAATGTTATAAAAACTTACCCTTTTGCCAATATTTACAGTGGTTTCTCTTATTTTCATGCCTACATCTGAGGATATTTAAAAGTCAGATAAATGAGGCTCATCTCAAATTTGAATTATCTAGTGACAAAAGAAGGAGCTGCAGGGAACACTTTCTGTTAGATGTTTTCAGCAAGACTATCAATCTAATTGATCTTAGGACATGTTAGAAGCTCAGCTCAAGCATTTGGAATCATTTCTTTTTGGACAGTTTCTGATTAACAAATGGTGAATTCTACCCATAACAATTGCCTGTCCACTGGTGTCAAACTTGGTAACTAAAGGATCTGCTGGTGCCCACTCTAGCTCATGTTCTCAGCTACAATTAGTTCACCTAGCACTAGATTCAGTGTGTTTTTAAAGGTGATTTCAAAAGAAATGTGATCGGGGTGCAAATCAAATTACTGTAAGTGAACAAAACGATTAGTCCACTGAGGCCATAGAGCACTAAGGCCTAATGCTGGCAAAAGCCCTACTACTTGACACTTTTACCCAGTACATACTGTATAGGAGGTGCCTTCAGCTGTGGACACTTCTGCATGTCTCACTTCTCTTGTCAATATGACCTAGGCCTTATCAGTACCAAAGTTTTTTTTTCCTTATTCTATTGCCAAACATACAGTAAGCACAGTATTTAAAGGGCAGAGTGAGTCTTCTGTTGTAATAAATAACTATAGACTTAAACCAAATTGTGAAAAAGGTTTTTGACGCAGCATCTCTTGGGAAATTTGGTCAATTTAAACATCTAAAGGAATGATAAATTAACTTTTCCAAAATTATCATGTGCCTTTACCCACAGTGATATACAGTGTTTACAAATATGATTATACTGGAGATAAGAGCAAATACAATGAAATTACAATAAAGCTGGTAAATAAAATGCAAGACAAGCACACCACTAAAATAAAATATTTAAATGGCATGATATGTACCACCACGATGGCAAGTGTGGACAGATAATATACAAAAACATTGTACAAAAGCACATATTTGTATAATAGGTTCAGACTACATCTGAAAGAAGATTTACTTTGTTCTTTCAGGATTTTTGAGGAAACGCTTATGAACATGTTCGCCTCTGTGCAAAAGTTTAGACTTGCCTTCCTATACTTGGCTAAGGGATGAAAGGAATGGAGAGAAAAGGGGAAATAAAAATAAAATTTCTGCTTAAAACCTTTAAAGATCTATGTTATTTAAAGCCACTACATGCAATTCTACCACATTCGTTTTTGTGCTTTAATCCTGGTGTGAGAGAAAGAGTTTTTACATACAAACTACAGTCTGGCACCACGTTCCAAGTGCTATTGCACTTCCTCCTGTGTTTCACAAGTGTAATACCAATTACTATCTCCTGTACATGACACCAAAATTAAGAAAAATTAATTAATCTGGTTTGCAATTTCATCTAAAGCAACGTACATCACGTGTGACAGAATCACAACTGTCTTACTCACAGACATAGGGCTGAAACCCTACACCTTGCAACTGCCCGTCTCATTAAAGCTTCAAACTGAAATCAACAACTACAGGGCACTAGAGCATTTTCTCCAGTAGCACATCTTCTGAGGCTTTGCTAAAAACAGATTCTAAAAATGAAATCTTGCACACCTAATGTGGTTTATCTCACTCATTGCCTTAAGGATTATTAAGTATCTTTCTGACTGAATAAGATAAAAGCGATATTCTGCCCACACAAGTAACAGTTTTATTTCTGTCCTAACTTCTGAGCAAGCTATAATTATGAACAATCATGACAGTTCGAAAAACAAAGCATTTCGATAAGCCTAGCTTGAATTACCAATACTATTTTCAGTGCCAAAAGAAAGTTAAATTGTCTTAATAAATTATTAACTGAATCGACACATTGAAGATCCAGCTCTATTTACTTTAAACCACAAATTTGAACCTGACCACACAGTCGAAAACAGCACTGCAGTGTTACGTTTCCTATTTAAACACAGACTTTTAGTTCACTGCGATCAACTGATCACAGCTCAGGACGTACCTAAATCCATTTTCTCCCCCAACACTGTCACTTTCTGATGAAGGCAGGGCAGCGCAGTGGCATGGCATTTAACCCAATTACTTCATAGCCCTTGTGTTGTGGGTTCGATTCTTGAACTAAGTTAATTTGTTATGGATTGTGCAATTTCTCCCCGTGTGTTTCTCACCTTTTGCTAGGTGGACCAGTTTACAGTATTCAAGGACACGCTGGCCAAGCTAATTGGTGTGTCTCTGTGCTTGTGTACACACCTTGCTGGACCATGGCCCGGGTTACAGCGACCAGCAACAAGTGACGTCTGATGATGGATGGATGGCTAGCTTAAGGCAATATTACACAGTAATATGAAGGTAGGTCATAGATTGGAAGGGTTGAATAAGGTCTGTAATAAAGTTATAGTCTATCACCTATAACAAGGCTGAAAGGTTATTCATTTAAATGAAATCATTCTTAATATCTAATAGTTGACCTGAACTAATGATCTAATCTAATTATCAAAGCTGAAACTGAATCAAAGATTACTTTGTTTTAATTAACTGCAGCCATTATCCACAGTACAGTATACTGTATACTGAAAATTATTACTTTGGCTACGAATGAATTCAGGGCATGTCCTGCCATTCAATAGCATTAGTGCTCTCCCTAGCCAATTATCTCATTTCACCAATGACGTATATCAGAGTGGGGTTTCCCTAAAGAATTAAATCACTTGTAAAGTAACTTTTAATCTTCAGACACCATCAAATATGTTACAAAGGTCTTGAGCCGAGTGCCCAAAACACATTAGTGTAAACCTTAAGTCTCATCGATAATCATATCATCCCATTACAATCTGGAAATGATGCAAAGAGCTGGGGTTTTCCCTCAAGGAACATAACATATCACAACATGTCACACGTGACATGACTTTCGCCTCTGACGCTGAACAGCGACCAGATAATAAGGCACAGAGGGATAGCTGACGATCACAGTGAATTTACTGCAGACTGAGTCTGGGCTGAGGAAGAAGGTCACAACTCAGTTCGTCAGCAGACACGTCACAGCTTATGAAGGAGCAAAATGTCGTGTAGCATATGGTTTGCAAGCATCATGGCTCAAAAGTGTGATGCTCACAAATCTTGCTTTAAGAGTATTACGAGAGGGCATAACTAGGCAGGACTGAGTCCAGCTGCTCTCCTACAGCATTTCAGAGCAGTCACAACAGGACACTGACTGAAAGGAAGTCGTTCAAGCCTGTCAGTATGAGTGTGTGACTTGTATTGCTTTATTACCTAACCACAAAACACAGTTTAATGCAGAAGTCCTGTACCTACAAGTACAATGGGATGGAAGACCATAAGAGTGTGGATGTCAGGATATTGTCAAGAAACTTTAAAAAACATCCAGGGTATTTCTTTTAATTACCTTCATGATCTCAAATGAACTGATAATATTTAGGTATTGCAATAATGGAGCACTCTTGATACCTGGTTCACAAATTGTATTAACTACTGTTTTAGAAATTATCATACTGTTATGCATAATAAGGCCAAAACCACTGAATCAAACAAATGACCATGTATGCTACATGTCCTCCTCAGATTTGATAAATATACAACCAAAGAAATACAACCAAATAAAAACGTCATTACGAAACATGTGCATTCCAGATTTTACTGACTCTTATCCTGTATCTTTCCTTATGTGTTACCTTTATTTCAGGCAATTCTGAACAGATGTGTGAACAATAACAAAGAAAGGTAAAAAGACTGCATTTCTGTCTACCTGATCAGCTCAATTTTAACAACTGGAAATTTCTATGCAATGGGAGTCTACGTTCTCCTAAACTCAAAAACTCAGCTCTACAAAACAAATTGCAACTGCACACTGAATTGTTGTCAATTTAACTGCATTCAGTTGCCGATTGCCTTTAGGAAGTAAAGGTGATTTTGATGTAAGAAGTTAATGCAATTCCCATTAGAGATTTTCTTGTCCTTCAGAATACTGGCTTAAATAACTATGCAAATGGAACTGAGAGGACCTATGGTAGTAGGATGATCAAATGAGAGAGATTGCTAAGTACTGTAGTAGTGTGGAATTTATCAACTCAAACATTTAAACACCACACACAAGGTTTATCAAAGCCACAGAACCTGAAAATGATCTAAAGCACAGGGATTAATCGATCCAATTAATTAATTATTAACCAATCGTTTGTTCCAATGAGTCATTGATCAAATTAATTAATTGTTATTGATTAGTATTCTGGGAACTGGAGAGACAGTACACCTCTCATTACCAAATGTGCTATCCAACTTGAGAGCAATAACAAGTGTGCTGAAGTGTGTATCTAAAGCACACCCTATTCACCGCAACTGAGCAAATACAATCCTGAGAACATGATTGTAAAATTATATATAAGAACATGATTATAAAAAACAAGGATCGATATTTTTAAACATGCTAAAATAATCTAAAACAATAGCATAGGCCTAATCCTTGAAAACTTGTATTTTGTCTTGCCTTACAAAATGTAGAACATCATTAAAAGCAGTTCTTAAACTGAGCTATAAATGTGCTTATCTAAATGTTGCAGCCCCAAAAAACATGAAATCTGAAAGGTCTCAGAGCTGACACCAGGATAAAATCCATAACGTAGCTGTAGGCTCAGTTACTTATCTCTGGGGGGCTGGGAAGCCAAGATGTGAAATATAATATTGAAGACTGCTGAGTCATGTTTATCTAGGTACAAAATATTCATTATTATCATGTTAGACCAATGTAAGATGTGTATGGGTGTAAATCATAGTACACATGTATCCTACAGTGATAATTTCACAATGCTGGCTTCTAAAACCGGAAAAGATATAGGGTACATTGAAGTACATGGTACATCTTTGTTTGAAAAATCAACACAATATAAAGCCACATTGAATTTGCACCATATAATAAAGTAAAACAAAAACAATCCAACATACTTGCAGAAAACCGGCTTAATGTGACACTCATAATAAACATTATAAAGCCATATTGCTAACACCTGGGAGTAATGAACTGCATGAACTCAAAATCTACTGACCTACTTTAGTTTCCCTTGAGGCTTATATTACTTAACCACCAATCTTACATAATATAGAAAAAAATGGGAAGAAAATATCTTTAGACATGTACTGGAGTGTCACTGCGCAATCCAGGGACCTTTAGTTGTCTACTAAATCTGCCATATGGACTCGACTTTTCTATTATATATTGGACATTTTTAATAAAAGAGTCAAGAAAGAGGAAAAGGCAAATTGCCCACATTTTAAACTGAAACACTATCCAGTGCTTCAAATTTAAACCTAATCTTGTTTCTTAAGTTCTAAGAACTGCCTTCTTCAACCATCCGCATTTATTAGCATCTGGTAACAAATGGGCAGTTGAGGTTTAACTCAAATTGAAATCCAGAAGCTCAGCAGTACCAGGATATAACCTTCTCCAAGAATAAAATAGATTGTACTGCACTGAACACTTGAACACAGAGATTTAGCAAACGTGACAGATCATTTTTGTGGCAGTAATACAATGAAAACTACTCAGAACCTCTGACAGATCCAATACCTGTTTTGTATTAGTAGTTTTAACAGTCATGTACATAAAGAAAACCTTAAACAGTTATATTTCAGGATGTGAAGGAAACAGATCTTTCCATTTCGTAACCATATGACGCACATGTAAAATAAAACCACCAATGTTTAAATGCAAATCTGAAATAATGTTGAGGACTTGTTGAATCTTCCTTTTTCAAAATAATACTATCATTAGGAGAACCAAAGTAGTAACAGTAATAACAATAAAAATTAAATCTATGCTTACTGTTTTCTGTGGATTTATTGTTCTATTATTAAATACATCCTTTGCATCTTGACCCGATGCGATTAAGTTGCTTTGGATCTTGACAAAGCAAAATCACTTTAGATGTTTTCTCCAAACCTATATTTTGGTTTTGTGAGAAACAGTTCTCTTCTGCTGCATCATCTATGCACTAGGGATCCTGACCACCACTTCAAATGGAACAGCACGTGATTACACAATCACTCCTCGGGGATTTGGGTATATACTCTGGTATGGTTACCCCAAAAAAGTATTGGTTCTTTAATTAACAAACAGTATATTGTGAACTGCTAGATTTTAAACCTGGAGATGAGGGCTCCAGCAGTTGCAGATGATCATTTCATTCCAGGTCTGTCTGCAGGTCTGCAGCCCCCTCTAATGGCATAATCACAAACACACGTCTTCTGCATTTAACTCCTCTCTCAGCCACACCTAATGCAGCAAATATTAATGCTTGTTAAGGTCCAGCTGTGTGGCTGGATCGGGTGATTCATTTCAAAGTTCGGCACCCATCTTTCAGTTGCATAATCACATCCAAGCTTATTAGCTCTAAACCCACCATTTTCTTATTTACACTTATTTTGTTATTATACTTAATATTTTTAATAAGTGGGCTGCAAAGGAACAAGTAAAGGTGCATTCCCTGCTGAAAAGAGAAGAAAAGAAACACAACGTTTTGGCTGTGGAGCCTTCTTCGTGTGTCACTGCTGACGCAGCCACCTACTGTACTTGAACTTTTTAATAAGCGGTTGCGTTGTAGTTTTTGTAGTTGTTGTCATTTTAATTTTTACTTCTCAGGACTTTATCATCATAATAATTGGTGCTGTACAGCATTAACCATTGCCCTCTTTATAATCTCCACTGTGTGTTACTTACAGCCAGTCGCAGTTCCTGCTCAGGACTAGGTGGTTTAGAGATGGAGGGCTGTTGCACAGACCACACAAAACCACCGATCGACCTCCAAAAAAATGCACAAACTAGTCCTAGACCTGTATACTGCTAAATACTGAAATTAAAATCAGGCTATCCACAACAACAGCACATTAGAACCACTGCCACAGAGTGTTATCAGTCTAGTTAAAACAACAGATCTGTAATACCTACTGTACAGGACTAACACAAGGCACAGGATGATTTCAAACAAGTCTCCCTTAGAACAAAAATAAATCTGAGTGAGATTTCACAATGAATTTAATTAGACTGATTCAAGAAGAAAATAAATTATGTTGGTAGCAAAGAATAAACGATAAACATTTCACTTAAGCCTGTGCAATAAAGTTTGCTAAATATCCACCATAAATATAATATGGGTTTTACCTTTTCCCGAAATCACTTCTGTTTCCACTCGCCATCGGAATCCAAACTGCCAGGGAGAACAAATACATTTCACAACAAGAATCAATAAAGAAATAAGACACGACAGGGCGACTGGGATAAATGCGATATTATAGCTGCACAACACACTCCCTGGATTTTATCTGTAATACAGTGTCTTGCCTCAGTAAAATAAAAAAGTGTTACCTTTTGAAATGATTTTTAAAATACAGTATATGCTTACACCACATAAAACACACTTTACAGCTTTTTGAGGCATGTAGTATGAAAACACAGATTCTTTCCACTTGATGCAACTTTGCCTGCAGGTAAAACCAAAGGGGTCAATCTGAGACTACACAATCATAGATCACATTCTTCTGATGTCATAATTCAATATGATATCCAACTTTACATGTTTAAAAAATCAAATACATATCAAAAAAGTAAAAGAAAATATGTCTGATTAAAAGTACGATGGGTTTCAGAGAAAACTGTTTGACCCAATAAATCAATACACAGCTTAGATGCTCACCACTTGTTTATACAAGTCTTTTTGGAGTATTAGAACAGTAAACACTGAAATATTTTGTGATTATATGGGCTACAGTCCTATCTGAACCAGGGTTTTCAAGCAGAAATCCTTAATCCCCAATTAGCTACAAATCCTGCATTCAATTTCCCAGTCATGTGATGGCCTGGTGTGGGCATATAAAATATCACTGCACCTGTGAGCTGCAGGTTTGGGTGTTATCTCAAGTCAAATGGTGTAGTGATTCCCAAAACAATTGGAGTTCACATTTTGTGGACAGATCTGTGGTGGTCAGACATCCATGTTGATTAATAGGGAATCCCCATTCCTCCAACTGTATGGACACCAGAATCACACCTGCCAAGTCTGGTGTTTACTGGCCAGAGAGACCTTGAAGACTGCTGTGGACACCAGAATCACACCTGCCAAGTCTGGTGTTTACTGGCCAGAGAGACCTTGAAGACTGCTGTGGACATCAGAATCACACCTGCCAAGTCTGGTGTTTACTGGCCAGAGAGAGCTCGAAGACTGCTGTGGATGGGAAAATCAAAGCAGCTACCTGTAAAGTTTCAATTTAATCAGCGCAGCAGTTCATAAAATGAAGATTTTCTAATGAATTTACACATATATAGGTCAGGAGACCATTCTATTTTTGTTACAAATATATTGAATAATCCATCCCAGTGTATCATTCTGGCGGCCTAGCTGCTAGACAGCATGGCCTCCGAACATGAGCAGTTCACTTCCTGTTGGGGAAAAAAAAGAAGTTCCTCAATAAGAAGAAAAAAAATAAAACTAGAGAGCACAGTGAGGAACCGTGGGGTATTTCCAGCCCACGGTTCCTCACATCCTGACTTAAGTTATCCAATTAAACCTTTAATTATACTAACACGTTGCTTGATTCAAATGCGTGCGTCTATTTTTTTGCTCCTTATAAAATGTAACAGTTAAAAGGAACCTCCCATATGTTCAAGAGCACAAAACAGCGAAAGTGGTCAAATGTCCAAAAAGGGTTTATGTAACTGAGAGTTCAGCGGAAACAAGAACCGGCAGGTGTGGGGGTCCCGGGACTAGGATGGGAAATCGATACTCTAGGGCATAAAAAGCAAACAACACAGAGAAAGTGCACACACCTTGTTTTCTTTGTATCTGCTTAGGTCAGCAATGCAGTACTCTTTAAACAGCTTGTCATAGTACTTTTTTGCAAGCTCCTTCTCCCTGCCAATAAAAGAAAACAATTATTCAGGCCATTAAAATTGTTTGTAAAAGCCTGACCAGCAACTTCTGTTCCAGAAACAAGCTTAATGGTATTTGAGAAAACATATTTATATATTGTCAGCAATAACATTTCATATTTAGTTCCAGATAAAGAAAGTAGTTGAAATATGTAATGAATAAAAACACAAGACTATTAAATAGTTTCTTAAGCATCATTCAGAGATGGAAATTGAACAGACCCAGGATACAGACTGAGAGACTGTTGTAACCAGAAGGAGTTTTATGTTAGTCCCCAAATACTGAAAAATCTCTATTGTAGGGAAACCTGTCATGGAACTATTATAACTAATTGTTAATTAAAACAAGAAAATTGTGAGCAGGTGTGAAAGCTTCCAAGATGTTCCCTACTCTCTAGCTTTAACAGAAACATGAGTAAAGTGCCAGTAAACTAAGGTAAAACTGAAATGATACCTCACCAAGCTTAGACTTCGGTAGTGATAAAGCTCAGGGGATTGAGCAGTTACTGGTACAGAGCATGTTTCACCAAGAACATGGTACCTACTGCAGGCCTGCAACATGTGAGCTATAGGTTTAAAGCATGTTAGGGTGATGAAACCTGCCAAGATACCAGTCTAGAGGAGTTATGTTTCCTAAGATAGTCAGTAGTTTTAAGAATAAAATAGCAGTCAGGAAGTCATTAGAATGCCACCTAGTAAGTTTGGAATTCAGGCTCCAAGACTTTTGCTTAGGAGTATTTTGCAGTTCAGGATATAATTAGAAGAGAATCAAAATGG